TGTGTGGGGGGGTGGAGGGTGAGAAAACCTGGATTTGTGCTGGAAATGGCCCAACCTGATGATCACTTTAGATAAGCTATTACCAGCAGGACAGTGGGGTGGGAGGAGGTATTGTTTCATATTCTCTGTGTGTATATAAAGTCTGCTGCAGTTTCCACGGTATGCATCCGATGAAGTGAGCTGTAGCTCATGAAAGCTCATGCTCAAATAAATTGGTTAGTCTCTAAGGTGCCACTCCTTTTCTTTTTGCGAATACAGACTAACACGGCTGTTACTCTGAAACCTATTCAATGTGTGCAGTTAGAATGGAATAGATCTTCAAATTTATCAGACATGTAGTAGCCAGAGGTGGATATGAAAGATGGAGCCTCCAAGCAGGATCCAATGCTAGCACCCTGGTAGAAGTCCCAGCAGTCTCCCTTCTTCTCAGCAGTTGGGGGAGGCAGCGAGAGCAGATCTGGGCTTCTTATCAAGGTATGGACTTTGCTGAAACCCCAGTGCAACCATAACCACCCTTGTCTTTCTTATCTGGCTCTGGCTAATGGAGGAGGTGCTTTAGTCTGCAGGGTACCAGTCTGGTAAATTTCTCAGACCGGGCCACAGAAATATAGTTTTCACACTGTCCCTGAAGCAATGAGTGGAGCAGTTACTTCTGCTGAACGCTAAATAGGAGTCACGGGGCAATACTACTAGTACTGAATTATTTAGGTACTGCTACATGGGGATTTGGGGTCTTGACTCCCAGAAGAGGAGATTCTGGGTCATCCACATATGCCACTGATTCTGGCTTTTAAAAACAACAACTGAGCTTCCTATTTTGTTGTCATTGAGGATTCTGTAACTGGCTCTCTTAATTTAAATGAGGACACGGCCATATGTAATTAAAAAATGCCCATGTAGAAAGAAATTGCCATCAGCCCTGCACATGTGTTTGCAGGGAAATGCAAGAGAAAATACTGGTTAGTCAAAAATGTTAGAAATCAGCAGCAGTTTATATCTAGAGCACACCATGCATTAGTGATGACTGCATAACTCCAGAGTGGTGAAGTGAGACCAAGCCACGAGTCAGTTGTTCACGGTTAGGCAGAAAGATTTTAAAAAATTCTAAAAGTCAAATCATTTGAAATAGTCCAACTGCTTCCACAGCTTTGGGTGTATTTTAGCTTCTGCTTATCAGACCATCCAGACATATTATTTTTACAAATCAGCCATAATGTTGTCATTGTTCTTGCTTATTTGAAAACCACAGAGGCACCACTAATACTTTATAGGTATCATCCTATAAAACAAGACCAAATTTTCAGTTGTGAGATGCACATGCATATAGCCCAATGAAGAGTCAGCCGCTTGTTTCCTATGGTAGTGATGCATGCATAAACCAGCCACTCTATCCAAAGCCACACTTAAGCCTGATAGCCACGGAAAACCTTCTTCTAAATGGGCTAATGCTGCTGCTGGAAAAAATAGCTGAGAACTTTCTCACACCACTCTGTTAAACCACCCTCTGTAGCTTTTCATTGCAAATTGTATTTTAGGGTTTGACCGTAAAATACAATTTGATCCTGTTGAAATCAATGGGAATCTTGTAATTGACTTCAGTGGGGCAGGATGGGGCCCATCTTGAGCTTTTTCTGAAAATGTTCTGATTTCTGTTTAAATTGCCATTCACCTCACTCGGAAGATTTTGGTGGGATGCACGCCCTAATATTTAATGTACACTGACATCCGTTCAGTGCATTATTCCAGATGTGAAACACAACTCATATTGACATGGCCCCAAATGTATGTATATACCTGACCACACTGTTTTTTTCTCACCATTCCCATCATTCAGCTGTAGTTCTCAGGGACAAAGGGTGCACAGTGCCATTCTATAAATTTACATTATGTTTAGGATGCAAACAGCAAAATTCCATAGACCATGCATCCCTATCAGTTGGAGATATGCTTCATAATATTTAAACCCATATGGCATGTTAATCAAATTTAGGTTAAACATCTATGAGAGGTATCATCTTTATCAGCTACCACATTATAATAATAAAAGTCAAACAGTTCTTTAAAATGCACTGGAAATCAAGCTTTTCAAGCACTCAGTCTGCCATTCATACCCCTCATCCACACACAGGTGATTCATTTTTACCAGTACTTATCTAAATAAAGCAAAGGAGGCATCAAAGGAATGGAAATGACAAGAATAACTTAGACAAGTCTAGCAACACTGCCTATTATTCCAGTGGGTACAGGAGCACAGTAGCAAAAATAACGTCGGGGGAAGCGTTGGATTTCAAAACACCTCCAGTTAGTGGGAAGATAGACCATTATTGGGGCCCAACTCCACACCCCCTAAAGGAAAGGGGACTCATTAATGGGAGTTATGCCCTACACTTATTAGTTGCAGATTGTTTCAGCTGGCATAAAGAGGCATAGCTGTGCTGAAGCCAAAGGAGAGACGCAATTTGCTGCAGTTGATGATCTAGTCCTCCTGGAAACAAATACACAGCACAAGAATCGAGTCCTGATGCGACTGCTTTTGGAACCCCTTTACTCTACAGACACAAATCACCAAAGTTGAACAATTAGAACCAAAGGATCTGTGCTCAAATTCAGACACTGCAACTTACTTAATAATGCAAAGCTTTTCCTTTCAGCAGACAAGGTTTTGGCTGGGGGCTCCTCAGCAGGTGTTAATCAGGATAGCTCTGTTGGCTTCACTGGGGCTGTGGCAATGTACACCAGCTGAGATTTGGATCTCAGAATTTGTGTATGAGAGACAGTTAGAGACAGAAGATATATTTTATTTTAAACTCCTATCAAATACAGAACTCCTCTTTGTGCCGCTTTACTTTTTTTTCCCTCTGCGTAAGAAGCTAAAATTTCCACTCCCCAAACTATGTGGTTCACATTTTTATTTCAGCTTTTAAAATGTGGTCAGGGTTTTTTGATAAACACAGTAAATGAATTTTTAATTAAGATGATTTAAATTAAGCATTATCTGCCAAAGACACTTGCTTCTTCCCATGAGAGTGTGTTCCAATGCATTTTTCAGAAGTAGTGTCCCATTGTTTTCAAGTTTATATTTGGGAACTCTAGGAACATGCAACATTCCAGCATTAGACAACATTTTAAGGTACTAGCACACCAGAAATTGAAGTCAGCTAGGGACATTCCATAAGGAAAAGTGACATGGAAATCTGACCTTTATATTTCCAAATGGACTTATATTGGGCACCACCCCAACATATTAAATTTGTCTCCTACAGTTTCTCTATTAAAAGCATTAAGTATTTCATATTTTAAAATAAAAATGACACTAAGATACCTCCCTAACATTCCCCCCCACACACAGGGCCTGTAGCTTGAGTTATTTGGAAAATCCCTTGACACTGTTTGCCCCCACATGCTATTTTGGCATCTCTGTCAGGGGAATTTGCTAACAGGCAAAGTGGGAACAGGCCAGTTGTTGCTTTTGCTTCTCACTTTAATGTCCCGACAATGTACCTGACCAGAGGCTCGGCACAGTGTAGGGACCAGGAGGAGAATTCTCCAGTGGCCCAGCCAGAGAATTTGGGCTTGGTTGTCTGGTACCCTAGAATGTGAGTGTGAGAGAGTGCAGAGAAAGGCACAGGGCCAGAGGGAGAGAAGATGAGCCATGGAGAGACCTGCAGGGTAGAGAGGACAGGAGAGGCTGAGCCTGTGTGCAGGGGGCTTAGGGCACTAGACTTTGCAGCCAGGGGCCTGGCTGAGTAGTACCTGGGGGGAACTGTCCAGCAGCCCGGGTGCTGAATGGCAAGCAGATGGGAGTGGGATGAGTGCAAGCAGGGATGAGGGTGCCCTAGGGCACAGGGCTGTGGGTCCCCCAAAGGGCAAAGAGTGCCCCACACCTGAGTGCATTCATCCGCTGGGGCACATGGAAGGGTGGGAAGTGGGGAGTGGGAGGTCTCCCCTTCCCCATGGCTGTCTCACTGCCTCCCTCCCCTGTGCATGTTCATCCTCCAGAGAGGGCAGGGAGTCCTGGTGGGGCGGGTGTGTGTGTGTGTATCAGTGGGGGCATCTCTGACCTGCAGATGTTCAACCCCAGGGCAGGCTGAGGGGCTTAGGATAAATGTATCCCAGCTCGGGGGTATCCCGGAGGCGGTGGAGAAGAGTGGTACTTTTGGCCTGGGGTCTCACCTCTGGATGATCATCTCTGGGGTAAGCTTTGTGGGGGAGGCCGTGGGGTGGGTTCCCCATATAGCTGGTGAGCGGGTTCTCAACTGTGGATGATCATCTCCAGGGTGAGTTTGGGGAAGGGGTGTCCCAGAGGGAGCAGGCTGTGTGTATGTGTGAGTTAAGGGTGTCCCAGAGGGGGGCATCCTGGAGGAGTCAGGCTGTGGGAGGGCACTCCCCTGTGGATGTTCATCTCCCAGGGTGGACTATGTGGGGAGCTACAGGGTGTCCCAGAGGGGCTGGACTGTGTAGGAGGCTGGGGGCTGTCCAGGGAGGGGGGGATTGGCTGTTTGCGGGGCTAGGGGGTGTTCTGGAGGGAGCAGGCTGTGAGGGAGGCTGGGGGAGTGTCCCATGGGGGTCTCACCTCTGGGTGTTCATCACCCAGGGTGGGCTGTGTGGCACTGTCCTGGAGGGGCAGGTGGGGTGTCCCAGATGGGATCTCACCTGTGGATGTTCGTCTCCCAGGCTGGGCTGCATGGGTGTCAGGGGGTGTCCTGGAGGGACGTCCCAGCGTTGGAGGGGATGTCCCGGAGACCTCTCACCTGCAGATGTTCATCTCCAGGGGTAGACTGTGTGGGGACTGGGGGTCTTCCAGAGGGGTGTTCCACAGAGGGCAGGCTGGGGGGGTGGTGGAAACAGAGGGTGTCTCGGACGGGGCGGGTGGCGGGCTCTCCCCTGTAGATGTTCATTTCCCGGGGCGGGCTGTGTGAGGACTGGGGGTGTCCCGGGGGGGGGGGGCGGGCTGCGGAGGGTGGGGGATTGAGGGGTGTCCCGGGCCGGCGGGCTCTCACCTGTGGATGTTCATCTCCCGGGGCGGGCGCCGCGCCTTGTCGTAGGCCACCTTGGCGAAGACGCCGGCCACCAGCACGAAGGCCACGGCGCCGCAGGAGATGTAGACCGTGGCGTTGGTGCTGTCCTTGGCCGGGTCGTACTTGTCGGGCTGGCTGCCGTCGGGCGGCGCGGGGCGCAGGCCGGGCGTGGTGATCCAGCCGGGGCTCTGGTAGTTGCGGCACTGGCCCTGGTCGAGCTTCTCGGCGCGCTTGTTGCAGCAGAAGCGGTAGTAGCAGGTGCCGCAGCAGTAGCGGAACCCGCTCTGGCTGTTGTTGCACTCGAACTCCTTGTCCCACTGCCCGCTCACGTCGTAGTAGCCCCAGCACGTCTCGTGCGCCGGGCCCGGGGCCGCCCCGCCGCCGCCCCCGCTCACCGCGCTGGGCGCCGCCGCGGCCCCGGGCCCGGCCAGCGTCTGGTTCAGCTCCTTGGGCGGGCGGGGCGGCCGGCGGGCCGCGCCCTGCGTCCGGTTGCCCTTGGCCCGGGGGGGCCCGGCGGCGGGCGCGGCCAGCAGCAGCAGGGCCAGCAGCTGCAGGGCCAGCAGCAGCAGCGGCAGGCGGCCCATGGCGGGGAGCGGGGCGGCGCGGGCCGGTCGGCGGGCGGAGCGGGCGGAGCGATCAGGAGCCCCGGCGCCGCCGCCCCATGGGGGGCCCCGGGCACAGCAGGTGCCGCCGCCCGGCCTCGGCGCTTCACGGGCGGGCGCCAGGCTCTGACGCCCCGCTCTGGAGAAGCCCCTTCATCCCGGCAGGAAGCGAGAGGCGCTGGCCGGAGCCCTGGCCGGCTGCTCGGCGGAGATCGGCGCGTCCAGTCCCGGCCGCTGCTCCTCGGGCCACGGGCTGGGAAGAGATGGGAGAGGGGGTCAGACCGGGGGAGCTGGAAAGTCAGAGCCGGGGGAGCGGAGAGAGAGGGGATGGGGGGTGGTCGGAGACCGGGATCTGCGGGTCCGGGGGGGGAGCTGGGGAATCAGAGACCAGGGAGTTGGTGATTTGGGGAGCCGGGAACCGGGGGAACCGGTTGAGGATCTGGGAAGCTACAAGGGGGAAAGAGGGCAGAGAACAGGAGTTGTCACCACGGGGCACCCAGGGGATGAGGGGGGACCGAGCCGTGCCCCAGCGAGGATTCCGCACTACGGAGAGGGGTTTGCGGGGATGGGGGGTTTCAGAGCTGGGACAGGGGGGTGCTAGAAGCAGGGGGAGCTGATGGGTGCAGAGACCGGGGGAGGCAGGGGCCGGGGCCAAAGGCAGCCGGGGTGTGAGGGGCAGGAGGGTGCTGTGGTGGGTAGGGGAAGGTGAGAGGGGGCAGAAGGCGGGGGGGGGGGAGGCAGGGCAGGCAGCAGGGGTAGTTAGCGGTAGCTGGGGGTAAAGGCGGGGGTTGTTACGGGACAGGGGGAGGCGGCAGAAACCGGTGCCCGAGGCGCTGGGCTCGGCAGCGCAGGGGGAGGATGCCCGACCGGGGGATCCCCCGGCTCGCCGCCCCCGGGCGCCCCGCATTGCCCCTGCCAGCCGCGGAGGCAGGCTCCGCTCCCCCGGCCCCCCTGCAGCCCGCCCGGGCAGAGCCCGCGCCCCGCTTACCATGCCGCCCGGAGAGGACTGCAGCGGGCTCGGCTCGGCGGCGAGTGGCGCGGGGAGCGGGCGGCTGCCTGAGCTACAGGCGGGAGCCGAGCCGAGCGCCCAGCCTTAGGTCCGCCCACCGCTGCCAGGCTCGCTCCTGACATCACTCCGGGCCCGCGTCACCGGCACACGGGGTGCTGCTTAATAAACATGGGCCCAGGTGCGGCGGCCGGGCCGGGGCAGCGTGCGCCCCGGGGGTCCCCTGCCCGGGCTCTGGGCTCCCGTCGGGGCCGGAGGCGGGCGAGCGGCAGCCGTCCCGGCAGAGCGGTGTCAGGGCAGCCAAAGGCTCCCGGTGAGCGGCTGGGGCTGCCTGGCCCGAGGGGCTGGCCCGGGGTCCGGGCTGTGCAGCGCTGGGAAGGCTGGAGAGGGCACGTGGGGAGAGATATCCACTCGCACCCGGGGCTAGCGCTGACCATCTGGGCATGGGAGGAGGGGCCGGGGCTGGGCTGGAGCCCGCAGTGACCCCTGGGCTGGAGGGACTATCCCGAGACCTAGCCACGCTGCACAGGACAGGGTCTTGCACACCCGTGCCCAGCCAACCAGAGCAGGGAGCGCTGACAGGAGGTTGTGAGGGGATGGGGTGGCTGGCAGTTACCAGTCACTGGAGGTCATTCCCCATTGGGGCTGGGTGGGACCCTCCGCCCCTTGCTGGTTTGGTTCCCGATGGACAGGCCTCCACACAGCAATGTGTTGGCAACCTCAGCTGGAAGGCCAGGGGTTGAATGGAGGAGGGGACTGTGCTATGGGCTTCCCCTAGTCATAGTGCAGCGGGCGGGGGCTGGGGGGACACTGCTGGGAGAAGCTCAGATTGCTCCTGACCTTGTTCTGTGAGGGCACTTACTGGGGGGTTGCCAGCACTAAACTCCTTTCATTTCAAACCATTATTGGCTCAGTGGATTTCTGTTCTGACAGGAGCCAATGTCTTTACTGGTCTAGTGGGAGCCTTCCCAAGCCAACCCGTATTACTAGATTTATCCATCATAGTGAGAGAGCCCTTAGTGCCAGTGGAAATGCTGGATTGACAGCTCGGGAAACCGATGGCCTCAGAATAGGTGTGACATGGGCAGCGGCAGCAACTCAAGCTTCCCCACCGTCACCCATCAGTTAGTGTCATCCTGGCTAGAGAGGGGCAGGGAAGGGGGCGGTGTTTATGTGTGACACAGGAATGTGGTGCCCATGCCCTTCTGTGCTTGGCTTGGCTTCTGAGATTGCTAAGAAGGTCCCCAACTATGGCTTTGTGCTGGAGAAACCTGCCCTTGGGGAATGTGAATTGAATCCCCAGTGATGTCCATACAGGCCATTGCACAGCAATCACGACTGTGACCAAGGCAGATACTTAGAGGTGAGAGGGTTTGTATCCTATTTCCATCCCTAGGAGCCATCCAGTCTCCTCCTCAGAATTTGCTCTGACTAGGTCATTGACATTGTGCCTGTACCAAAAGTTGACATTTCCCTCCATGGAAAATTAACTGAGACACCTTTAAAATGTTTTCTTAAGATGCAAAAGAAATCAGCAGCTTTAAGGACACTCAGAGGACACTGGAGAGGATCATAACAAAGAGAAACACAGTGTATAGTGGAACGGAAGTGCTTTCCCGAGAGCTATACACAAGTAATCTGTCCTCTGTTGGAGAGAAGGAGGAAGAGAATGGTGAGAGAGAGGGGTGAATGCTTAGAAAAAGTCCAGAACGTTCATTCCCCATGGCCTCATACTTTATATGCAGGGCCCTACCAAATTCACGGCCGTGAAATCTGGTCTTCCCTGTGAAATCTGGTCTTTTGTGTACTTTTACCCTATACTATACAGAGACCGGTGTTTCTCAAACTGGGGGTCCTGACCCAAACGAGGGTTGTGGGGGAGTTACACAGTTATTGTGCGGAGGGGTCATGGTGTTGCCAACGTTACTTTTGCGCTGCCTTCAGAGTTGGGTGGTCAGAGAATGGCAGCTGCTGGCCAGGTGCCCAGCTCTGAAGGCAGCACCCTGCCAGCAGCAGTGCAGAAGTAAGGTTGGCAATACTATACCGTGCCACCCTTACTTCTGCATTGTTGCCTTCAGAGCTGGGTGACGGGAGAGTGGCACTGCTGGCTGAGGGCCCAGCTCTGCAGGCTGCAGCGCAGAAGTAAGGGTGGCAATACCATACCATGCCATCCTTACTTCTGCACTGCTGCTGGGGGCAGCACGGCCTTCAGAGTTGGTCTCCCAGCCAGCATTTGCTGCTCTCCAGCCACTCAGCTCTGACGGCAGCACCGCCGCCTGCAGCAGCACAGAAGTAAGGGTGGCAGGAGGCGCGACACCCCTACAATAACTTTGTAACACCCCCACAACACCCTTTTGGGTCAGAACTCCTACAGTTAGAACACCATGACATTTCAGATTGAAATATCTGAAAACATGAGATTTATGATTTTTAAAGTCCTATGACTGTGAATTTGGTAGGGCCCAATGTATATGTCATGTCCCCTGGGCATCATAGGTGTGTAACGTCCACGGATCGGAGGGTAGCATTTTACGCCCACGTTGCACAGTTGTAAAGGTTTATACGGGATATAAGACCATGGAGAATCAGGCTCTGAATCTCGCACTACCTCTGCTACAGGGTTGAGATGAGTATTATAGAAATCGGGAGGATGCTTTATTTTTTTTAACGAGACTTATACACATGTTCCCAGTAGGTAACTAAGGTCCAGGGTGGTTAAATGACCTGGCTAACATCACAAAGTGAGTCACTGGCAGAGCAGTTGTTAGGAGAACCCAGCAGTGCAGACTGCCAGTCCCCTGCTCTAATCTGGACCAAATTCAGCAGTGATGCTGCATAAACCAATGTAAGCTAGGCCCCTCTCCCACATTGACCTATTTGCTGAGGTCTGAGGGAGTCTAGGGGAATGAAGTGGAAGCACTGGTGTAGTCGGTCTAATTTATACCACCTTTTGTATCACTTCGGAATTTGCTCACTGGCTCTCCCAGAAAAGAACAGACTAATGAAGGCTGAAATCACAAGCCTGAGTCCAGCCTACCATGGGTCCAGATCATCCTCTCCTGCAGCAATGCCCCCAGGAGGGGCTGGGAGAAGGCAGATTCCCATTATGGAGTTTCCTCCAAGTCCTCCTCTTGAAGGTGGGAAGGCAAGTTACCTCTTCCTGACCCCCTGGGGAAGAAGCAGGGAGTCCAGATGACCCACGACTCCTCCGAAAGATATTGTGACCCCACCACTTCCAGCTCCATCAGAGCCAAACTGCAAAGGACCCTCAGCCTATGGGTGCCCCACACCTCTCCACACCCATTGCCCAGCATGGAGGGACTCTGCTGCATTATCTTTCCTATGAATTCCCTGTGCAGTTGAGGGTGCAATGTGTACCCACCGCACCTCTCCACCTCGTCTCCATGTTCACAGAGCCTGGCCCCCTTGGAGAGCCTCTCTGCATTGTCCTGAACAGGGGTGTGTGGTGGCATTCCCTTCCACCTGTGCAAGGAGCTATACGTTCAGAGGGCAGCCTCTGCGGACAGCTCTGCAGGATCCATTAGGCTCACGGTTCCCAAGAAACAATGTCACTGATGCTCGTTCTGCTCGGGTGCCAAATGCCACAAAGGCACCAGAAATGTCCCACAAAGCACAGCATTGACTGCGCTGAGCGTTCCCTGCTGAGGTACCCAGGCTCCTCAGGGCAGGGACTGGCCTTCCTCTTATGTGTCTGTCCAGTACCCAGCACAGCAGGCCCTTGGTCCATGATCGCGCCCTTACATGCTACTATAATGCAAATAATAATCCTGGGTGTATTTGCCTTGTCCCCTCCCACTTAAAATGCTAATAATGTTTAAAATCCTGTGCTGCTCCCCAAAATTTCTTCAACAGTCTCCTTGGCCTGCCCTGAGCCAGGGGTCTGTGCATGGAAGGAGCTGGATGAACATTTTCTGTGGCAAGGACCCAGTTCCCCTAAGGAACAGGGTTTGGTGAAGCATTTCCAGAGTGGGACTGGGAGATCCTTACCTAGCACTGGTTTCCCAAAGCCAACATCAGATTCCGTAGCTTGGGCCCTTCCCTCAGACTCAGCAGTGCCCACCAGAGCCTGCAGATTAAAAGGAAAATGGCTGATGTGCTCATATGAGGAAATTACCCTAAGACCAAGGTTCTGGAGTGCAGAACAGCCTCTTCTGTGAAAGGGATGGTTTAGGTAAGATAATCATGGCTGCAGCTCTGCTTTCCTACAGCCATTGCTATGTGGGGTTCGATATAGGACCTGCAGCTGGGCCAGCACTTCCTCTCCCATTTGGAGCCTCCTCCACGCCAGATTGTCATTTTTTAAGGGTTGAAACCTAATACCAGGCTGCCACTCCTACTTCACAGAGCTCCATTGCCCTACCACCTAGCTCCTCCAAGCTCCAGGGCCCTTATCCAAAGCCTATGGAAAAGCATGGGCTTTCGATCAGGTCCCAGCCTCAGCTGCTTGCAAGTATTTTGTTTGTTTTATTTTGTTTCCTACCCAGGGAACTTCAGTGCTCTGTTCTTGTTCAAAGGTCTGGCTGCAAATTAGATTCTGACTGTAAGTAACAGCTGGCATTGCTTTCGCTTGGGTGTTTTCTTGCCTCCGTGAACTTTGGAGTGTCAGGAATCGTACCTGTCACTGTTTGAAGACTTTCACTGAGGCTGAGGCAGGAAACCTCTTGTTGGTGCAAACTAGGGAGTTGTAACTTCTTCGTGATAGGGCCTTTTTCACCCCTTCTGAGTTCTAAAGCAAAGGGAAGTACAGATCCAAGGCACGAGAGATGCCATTCCTCACAAAGAGCCCATCATTTCCAAGCTGAAACATTTAAAACGTAGCCTAGCAAGGCTAGGACATGCCTTTATTTCCTGCTTGCTAAGACTATTCAATAACAATAATATAGAACAATGGTTTTGAACCTGTGATCCCCAGAGGGTTCACAGACTCTGTCTAAGGGATCCACGGAAGGTTGTCGTTACCACAGAACAGTGGTTTTCAACCTGTGGTCCGTGGACTCCCGGAGGCCCACAGACTATGTCTAAGCTTTCCAAAGGGGTCTGCACCTCCATTCAAAAAATTTTTGAGATCCGCAAATGAAAAAAGGTTGAAA